CTGTAAGTGTTTGTGAACTGACCCATTGTCTCGTCTGTTCATCGTTTGTTCTTTTCCGTGCCAGGGTAGGGAAGCTTAATAAAAATATACACTGGTGTCCAGGTGGTGATGCGTGCTCCTGGGGTGGTTGATCCTTTTCTTTCTCCCAGGCCCCCAAACAACCTGGAGCCTGGGGCAGAGGACAACTCAGACTCACCCAGTACCCGGCCCCTCAGCACAGAGTGCCCATCTCTGGATGCTGCCCTGGTGCAGCACTTGTACCACTGCAGTCGCCTCCTGCTGGTGAGGCTAGTGGCATTCCTCTATGTCCCTGACAGCCCACACCCCAGGGAGCCCCGCACTTCTCTCCTGCTTCCCACTTCCCCTGTTCCCCCGCTCCCACCACCACCCCTGTTCAGCCTCCCAATGGCCTAACATCTGGCTCTTCCTGGAGTCCCTCCCACACTGACTCCCACACCCAGTGCATGCTGGGACTTGTAGTCCCAGAATTCCATCTTTCACTAAGCCCTACCCGGAGATCTCAGCTGCTTTGGCCACTTCTGTTCTCCAGAAACTGGGCACATTTGGACCCCTGCGCTGCCAGGAGGCGTGGGCCCTGGAGCGGCTGCTTCGGGAGGCCCGAGTACTCGAGGCGGTGTGCGAGCTTAGCAGGCAATGGGGAACCCCTTCCACCTCTGCCCAGGAAGGTAAAGGCCCTGTGCACTTTATCGCTCCTGCCCAGGAGCTGTCTTGCCCCACCTATTTGCATGCCTGCCTGGCCTGCTCTGTTGGTGACCGGTGCCCTGGACCTCTCCACAGTGGTGCAGTTCTCAGCCTCTCGGCCTGGCTTCCTGACCTTCTGGGACCAGTGCACAGAGGGACTCAGTCTCTTCATCTGCCCCGTGGAGCGTGTGCTCCTCACCTTCTGCAATCAGTACGGTGCCCGGCTCTCTCTGCGCCAGCCAGGCTTAGCTGAGGCTGGTGAGTGGCCCTCCCACCTGCCCTCTCTCTGGTCCCACAAATGGGGACCTCCGTCCCACCTGCCCCGGGTGACAGAATGAAGGGGCCGATGTCAAAGGACCCAGATGGGTAGAGTAGGGCAGGAGGGTGGGAAGGACGTGGGGGATCTGGGCCCATCCAGAGGATGCCTGTCTCCCGTCTCCCAGTCTGTGTCAGGTTCCTGGAGGATGCCCTGGGGCAGAAGCTGCCCAGGAGGCCGAGGCCAGGTGCTGGCGAGCAGCTCACCCTCTTCCAGTTCTGGAGTTACGTTGAAACCTTGGACAGCCCCTCCATGGAGGCCTACGTGACCGAGATGGCCGAGGAGGGTACGGCACTGGTCCTAGTTCCAGACAGGGCTGACCATAGCTTTGGGTGGTTCTGGGGGTGTGGATGAGGACTCGCCCCGATGGGAGACTTCCTTGCCGTGCCTCCACCTTGTCCTGCTGTGTCCCTTCCCTCCTTCAGTGTTGCTGGTGAGGAACCTGAACTCTGATGACCAGGCTGTCGTGCTGAAGGCGCTCAGGCTGGCCCCTGAGGGGCGACTGCAGAAGGACGGGCTTCGGGCCCTCAGCTCCCTGCTTGTCCACGGCAACAACAAGGTCATGGCTGCAGTGAGCACCCAGCTCCGGAGCCTGGCACTGGGCGCTGCCTTCCGGGAGAGAGTGAGCGTTGGGCAGGGCACACAGGGCAAGGGCAGGGGCCCCGGTCCCCAGGAGCTGGCTAAGTCCGCTGCTCCTGCCTTTTCCCCAGGCCTTGCTGTGCTTCCTGGACCAGCTCGAGGATGCAGACATACAAACGAGAGTGGCCGGCTGCCTGGCCCTGGGCTGCATCAAGGTGACCCCAACCTCTCCTCCTTCCATTGTCCTCCATCCAGGGCCTTAGCTCTGCCACCTACTAACTGCCGTGCTACCTCCCCTGCCCGCTGCAGGCTCCAGAGGGCATCGAGCCCCTAGTGTACCTGTGCCAGACGGACACGGAGGCCGTGAGGGAGGCGGCCCGGCAGAGTCTGCAGCAGTGTGGTGAGGCTGGGGTTGGCGCGGGGGAGTCAAATAGGATTCGGGCCGGGGGGGGGGGGACGACGACACACATTGTGACTGGTGGATGGAGGGGCAAGGCGGGGTTGGGGCGGGAGGGCCACTCTGGATGGGGTGAGGGCCACTCCTGATCCTTCATCCTTTCAGGAGAAGAGGGACAGTCTGCCCACCGACGGCTGGAGGAGTCGCTGGACGCCCTGCCCCGCATCTTCGGGCCCGGCAGCATGGCCAGCACTGCATTCTGAGTCCCACAGGCCTGCGGGACTCCCGGGCGCTGGCAGGGAGGGTGAGGGCTGGCTCCGGACACCCCCCACCCCCACAGATTCCTACAGATGAAAAGCTAATATATTCTTCCGTTGCCCCTGGGGTTGGTAGAGTCAGTGCCAGCAGTCAAGTGCCTCCCAGCCTCGGCTCAGCACACTTGCCACATCAGTGTCCCGGGCCCGGCCACCTGCCTCTGCCCTCTCATGTCCCTTGGTTTGTATTTTATTTACAGAGTTTTACAGAAAATAAATTTTAAGAAAAGCAAATCGCCTTTCTGAACGGCTGGGCGCGCTTGTAGTTCTCTGGACGGGTTCGCCCAGCAAGGGCTTTTCCTGACAGGTGGCCACAATCCAGCTGTGAATGCAGGGCATGTGGGAAAGCGCTCAGAGGCTGGGACTGTACGTGGAGAAGCGGGTGGGGGAAGAGGGCGGTGGGGTGTTGCTGAGGCTGGATTTGGCCCTCGGCCTGGAAACTGTGGGCCCAGGCTGAAGCCCAGCTGTGTGACTTGGCCGCGAGAAGGCCTTAAAGGTGACAGTTCAGAGAGCAGCTGCCCAGCACTTCAGGCACCCCAAAGACGGAGGGAAATGGTTTGAAAGGGAGGGCAGATGGCCGGAACCAAGGGCCAGCAGGGGGCAGCAGAACACCATCGTGCCAGGCTTCTGCCAGGGAAGTTTCCTCTAGAGGGGGCTGAGGGCCAAGAAGCGGAGTTTTTTTTTTTTTTTTTTTGCAAGAGATTGGCGGGAAATGTGTGGAGGTGGTGGTGGTGGCGGAGGGTTATTCCCAAGGAGGCCCGGGGATCCCTCCTGACAGTTCTCCCTTCCAGAGGGCCACCAAAGGTTCAATGCAAGGGGCCAGGGAGACAGTGCAGCTCAGACCTTGAGGTGCTGGGGATTCCTGGGGGCCGCCCCAGCATGCTGGGGGTACAGAGGCAGGACTGCGTGCATGGCATGGCCTTGAACCCCAGTGCTACCTCTGACCTGGGAAGATGTTGGCTGAGAACAGGGTGGTGTTGAGATGTATTCTCTCAGGAGAGAATGACATGACAGGAGCCTGGGCAGCAGGTCACATGAGGGCTGGCCTGCGACCCCAAGCAGCATCTCCTCTCCTCAGTGACAACAAACCTGTCTGAACCCTGTGGCGGCCGCTATAAGAGCTGGGCTCCGGGGACAGGGCTGGTTGTCCCCCGAGAACTGTCTGATGAGGGAACAGGCTCACACAGGCCGCTAAGTTCAGGGGGAGGAACTTGAGGGCCGGTGGGACTTGGGGATGGCGGGTGCATTCTAGGGAGAGCCGAGGGAGGCCTACACCCCAGGCTATAGTAACAGCACCCCCTTCCCTCTCCCTCCAGAACTTTTATTATCGAGGGGCAAAGGGGACTGAGGGCAGGGCCTCCCCTGCTCCCTAAGCCCACTCTGGTGTCCTGAGGCGGTTACACAACAGCGTGACACACTAGGGACAGTGTGTGCATCCGCCCTCAGGAAGAGCCAATGATGAGGCGGCAGTTCCCTCATGGGGGGTGACCCAGAGCCCCAGGGAGCCCTCCCCCACCCCCGCCGTGGTTTGGAGCTGCAGATGAAGAGCTTTGGCTCGGCTCTTAACCACCTGCTGGGGAAGCCAGGCTGCACAGAAAAGAAACGGCAACAGGAAGCGCACAGCGCACAGGAAACACCTGTGTGTGGACGCAGGTGGCTCATCCCGGCTGTGCCGGTGGGGGTGGGCTGTCGGCGCTGGCACCCTTCTGGGCACTCCACAGTAAGCAGGAAGGGTGGTAGGCTGGGAGGGAGCAGGCAAACAAGAGACCAAGGCCATAGCAAAGCTGGCCGCAAGGTGCCATCAGGATGACAGCTGTCTCAGGCCTGAGGTCCTGGAGGCCTGCTGGCAGGGCAGGACTATCCCCCTGCAACCCAAATGTGGCTTGTGTGGTGAAGAAAGGCAGGAAAACCTTGGCTGACCAGTCCTGGGGACGTGCAGACGGGGACTGCGCCAGCACCAGCTTCCAGCTCAATCCAGAGTGGGGTTGGGGCCTGCGCAGTAGCACAGTGGGTAAGGTGCTTGCCTTGCACGCGGCCGACCTGGGTTTGACCCCCGGCATCTCATATGGTCCTCTGAGGCCCACTAGGATTAATTCACGAATGCAGAGCCAGGAGTAACCCCTGAGCATTGCCGGGTCTGGCCTAAAAAAACCAACAATAACAACAACGAAAAAAACGGAGGCTCAGGGAATAGACTGTGAGGGGCCCACTGCGCCTGCCGCTGAACCCCCGTGGGACCCCACGCCCCGCTCCCCAGCCCTGGGTTTCTGTTCCTTAGAAAGACCCTAAGGGCACAGCCTTCAGTGTGAGTAGATGTAAGGTCAGGATGGGCAGGAGACAGCTGCAGGGGGCAGCTTGTTCCTGCTGCCCAGACTCTGGTCAGTCGAGAGTTGCCCCCAAGTGAGAGCAGGCATATGACACCATCACAGGTGTCCGTGGTAGCCTCTGGGAGGGGACAGAGGAAACGGGCCTCCCAGGCTCATGGCATGCAGGGAGACACTGCAGCCATCAGATCCCTGCGGGTCGTGGCCATGTCTTGGCCATCCCCTCTGAGGCTCTCCCTGGAGGAAACCAGTAAGTGCGCGCTGCCAAAAAGGGACCAGGTCACGGGAGTGGAGGACGTGATTTATTATAGTGTGTGTGAGGGGTCAATGGAACCCCGTCCTTTCCTCTTGCCCTCTTCCAACCTTACCTTTCCTCTGGCCTCCTACTCTTCTCTCTCATGCTTTCAAAGCTGTGGAGAACCAAAAAAAGAAGAAAGAAAAAAAAGGGGCTGTTTGTGAAGGCAAGGAAACAGATGGGCTGGCCCATGGGAAGAGGGCTGCTTCTTTGTCTCGCCCACGGAGCGTGGGTGCCTTCCTTGTGTGTTTCTGTGCCTGCTGTGTGGGTACGATTTGCTGAACCCCAGGCATATGACATACTCTTTCCTTTCCCTCCAGTCCCCCTGACAATCCTGGGGTGCGCTAATCAAGCCATTCCTCCCCTCCCACGGGCTGAAAGCTTTTCTGGCTTTTCTGGGCCTGGGTACTAGGTAGGGTGAACTCGGGAAGGATTCCAGGGCCCATCTAAATGGTTAGGGGAGAATGCTCGACCATAAATCAAATTGTCATTAACCTGCAACATGAGTGCAACTGAATGACGGTCCAATTTGACCATCAATTTGCTGACAGTGGGCAGATTTCTCTTGTCTCTGAATATCCTGAGGGCATACGGGTCCTAATAAATGCTGAGTTAGAGCAGCTGAATAAGCAGATGAATTGCTATGGCTAACACCTACGTTTCTAGCTATTTCCTCTGAATCTCCTTACAACCTTCCCTTGCCACCTCCTCCTCAAGCATCCTCTTACAAACATCACTCCCCAGGATTTCATTCTCGGCCCTTTTCCTCTCTCTTATGAAACACTGTTTCATCCTTGTAACATGTGGTGCTGGAGATTGAACCCCAGGCATCACACATGCAAGCCCAGAGCTCTACTGTGGAGCCACATGGCCACATACACACTCTGGGAACCATGCTGTCCAAGCTTACACTTCTGGCTTCCATCTCTGCTGAGTCTGTGGGCCAGTGTCCACAGGCCTCTCCTCCCACACCTACTGCTCCCTCCCACGGCCCTCCTCCCACAGCCTACCTCCTCTGGAACAGCTAGGTGTTTCAGATTCAGCATGTGCAAAACCAAAGTCTGATCTCCAATCCCGTTCCTCCGCCAGGGCCCTTGGGGTTTTGTTCAGGAAGCCAAAGTCATGTGTCCATTGACCTCTTCTCGGAGTCTCTGCCATCAGAATGCTCTTTTAATTAAATGTCCTGAATATTTCCAAATGCTGTCAGTTCTTTTTGGTTTTGTCTTGGGGCCACATCTGGAAGTGCTCAGGGCTTACTCCCGACTCTGTACTTAGGGATCACTCCTGGCGGGACTCGGGAGCAATACAGGGTACCAGGGATTGAACCTGGGTTGGCCACATGCAAGGCAAGTGCCCTACACACTGCACTGTCCTCTGCAGCTCCAAATTCTATCAGGTTTTTCTCCCCATTGCCATCCCGTAGATTCAGGGCAAATGGATCTCTCATTTACACATTAAAACAGTCTCTGAGCTGCTTCCTCTCATCTTACCTCTCTCCCTTCCATTCCCATTGTGCAGAATGCTTTCTAAAAGACAAACCTACCACTACAGGCTCTTTCCTCTTAGGAAAAAATCCAGCCCTTCAATCTGGCTTACTCTGGAGCTGACTTCCCAGCCGCACTGGAGTCTCACCAAACCACTCCCGGGACAAATCTCTCTTCCGAGGCAGAGAATATCCTCATTTAACATTACCAGGTTCTGGGGCGAGAGCCACAGTACAGCGGGTAAGGCGCTTGCCTGGCATGTGGCCAACCTAGGTTCGGTCCCTGGCATCCTATATGGTTCCTGAGCCCCGCCAGATGTGATTCCTGAGCACAGACCAGGAGCAACCCTGAGCATAACTGGGTGCAGCCAAGAAAAACCAAAAGCATCTGATTGGGTTCTTAGAAACTATAACTTCAAGTGAAACGAATAACAAGCAGATCTTCAAAGAACATAGTTTTGTTCAACAGTAGCCAGATTTCTCTCTCCTCAGGTAATGAAGTGCGGCTGAATGAATGGTTTATTTGAGGACCTCTCTGTCTTCACCCTGCCTGCTGATGCCTGGTCACCTACTAGACTTCACCCAAGACATTGCAGATTTCTCCGAGCAGCTGCCCTGGCACTGTGCTCCTGCCACAGAGCCTGCATCTGCCTGACCCTAATGCCACTCCACAGCAGCGCCTGACCCTCTGTCACCCTCCCATGCAGCCAGGCCTAAATATTGCTGATTATTCTTGAGATAACAGGCTCCATCCAAAGCTGGGAGGGAATTGGGGGGGTCAGGGAAGGCGGAGATCTTGTATGCCATTCCTTGCAGAGCTTTGTCCAATGTTTTGGTCTTTCTCTTTAATGTTGTTCCTGTTTAGGGGTGTTGGGGACCAAACCCAGTGCATCAAATGTCAAATTCCTACACCCCGATCTTTGTCTTATTTATAACCGTTTCATTGAGATTGGTTCTTCATACCGGGCAATGTGCCCATTTAAACTGTACAACTCAGTGGCTTTCAGGGCATTCACAGACTTGTGCCACCATCACTGCCAATCAATTTTTGGGATGTTTACCAACCCCAAAAGAAACAGTATCCCAGAGCCGGAGCGATAGTACACCAGGTAGGGTGCTTGTCTCACACATGGCCAGCCCAGGTTGGATCCCTGACATTCCATACGGTCCTCCAAGCCTACCAGGAGTGATTCCTGAGTGCAGAGCCAAGAGTAACCTCTGAACATTGGTGGGCATGGTCCCAAAACAAAAAAAATTTTAAAAAAGGGACAGTATCCTTAGCAATTATACTTGGACTCTGAATTTCCCCTTCATCTTGCTTAACCCCTACCTTGGGCAACCATTAATCTATTTTCTGTCTCTATAGATTTGTCTATTCTAAGTATTTTTTGTTGTTGTATTGTTTTGGGGTCACACCCAGCAGTACTCGGGACTTATTCCTAGCTCTGTGCTCAAGGATCACTCCTGGCAGGCTCAGGGGATGGTATGCGGTGCTGGGGATGGCAGCTGGGCAGGGCACATGCAAGACAAGAGCCACATCTGCTGTACTACATCTCCAGCCTGGTAAATATTTCTTATTTTGTGCTAGAGAGGGTTTGTTTGGGCTACACCTGGCAGTGCTTGGGGAGTACTTCTGGCTTAGTGCTCAGGGATCCCTCCTGGTAGTACTTGGACCATATCGCATGCCAACGATCCAACAGGGGTCAGTCACGGGCAAGGCAAACACGTTAACCCTTGTACTGTCTCCCCTGGACCCTAGATATTTCTTATAAAATCAGGTTAGGTGTTTCCAACTTACCTGGCTTTTAGATTCACTCGAGAACTTCCATCAAGATTAAAATTCAGGTCTGGGCCGGGAATGTGGCCAAGAGGTAAAGTCTATGCCTCGCCTGAGCAAGGCCCTGGGCTGAATCCCCAGCACTGTAAAAATAAACAAATAATAAAATTCAGAAGTCTGGGGCTAGAGAATCAGTATTTATTTAAATGTTTGTGATGCCAGGGATCAAACTCAGGGTTCACATACGCAACGCAAGTATTCTAGGGCTGGGGCTGGAGCCACAGTACAGAGGGTAGGGGCCTTGAATGCGGCCGACCCAGGTTCGAGCCTCGACCACCACCAGGAGTGCAGAGTGAATGCAGAGCCAGTAGTAACCTCTGAGCCTTGTTGAGTGGGGCCCCAAATTAAAACCAAACAGATAAAAAAACAAGTATTCTATAGCTGACCTACATCCTGAGCCTATTTAATTTATTTAATTAAAATAATGGTGTTTTGTTTTAATTTTGTTTTGGGGCCACATCCAGAGATGCTCAGGGGTTACTCCTGGCTCTGCACTCAGAAATTACTCCTGGCAGTCCTCAGGACCATATGGATGCCAGGGATTGAACCTGGGTCAGTAGTGTGCAAGGCAAATGTCTTACCCGCTGTACTATCACTCCAACCCCAAGTAAAAAATTAAAAAAACTTTTTTTTTTTTTTTTTTGCTTTTGTACCATACCTGGCTGTGCTCAAGGGTTACTCCTGGCTCTGCACTCAGGAATCATTCCTGGAGGGTTTAGGGGACTATACGGGATGCTGGGGACTGAACCTGGATCAGATACATGAAAGGCAAGCACCCTATCACCTATCAGCTGTACATCTCTCCAGTCCCATAAAAGAATTTTTGAGGGGAATGTGCAAGCAGTAGGAGACTTGGAAGCTAATCTTGGTGACTCTTCACCAACCTAGCCAAAGAGTCCAATGTTAGGGTCCAAGGATGTATGGGGCCCTGGAGTGTCAGGGATTAGCAGGGTCACCCCAGCAGTGTTCAGGGGTCTTCTGGGGCACACTCTGTGGTGCTTGAGGACCATGTGATGCCGGAGTTTGAACATACATCCCTGTATGCACACAGCATGTGCTGCTGACTTCTGAGTTCCTCCCTGGCCTCCTTCCTTCCTCCGTTCCTCTCTACCTTCCGGGGGCCACACCCTGCAGTGCTCTGAGCTTAGTCCTGGCTGTGTGCCCAGGGATCATTCCTGGGGGTCTTCAGGGGGACCATATGGGGAGCCAGGCAGGGATTGAACCTGGGGGTCAGCTGTGTGCAAGGTAAGTGTCTGGACCCCTCACTTTCCCCAAACCCCTTATTTCTAGGAGTCACACTCAGTTGTGCTCCAGGGTCCATTCTAGCGTGGGGAATTGAACGCAAGGCCTTGCACATGCTCAGCCTATGCCCCAAATCTGTATCTGAAACACTGCTCCGGGCAATTCTTCATTTACGCGGGCTGCATCTGCCTTCTTACCATCCCCAGCAATCAAGGCTGACTACACAGGAAGTGGTCAAGAAGTAGCTTTTGATGAGTACTCTACAAGGTGTATCTGGCTCTTAGTTCCCTCTAGCCAACTCCCTAATTGCTGTCTTGGTTTAAAACACAACATGAAAACATTTTTGAGTACGAAAATACTATATGCTTAATGTAGGAAGAGCCTGGAAATGCTAAGCACTCCTGGAGTACTGCCTGAGGCACAGCTCTTGAAAAGGCACTTTCCCCACTGGGCTGCAGGGTGGGTTAAGGAAGGGACGCCTGAGCAGAGCCCCCAGGAGAGAAAGGGTGCAGAAGCTAGGCTGGAGGAGGTGAGCAAGGTGGCCTCAAGAGCAGAGGGGGCAGTCAGAAACAAGGCCGCCGGCCATGGCTCAAAGAGCTGGAGCAGGGGCTGGAGCGATAGCACAGTGGGTAGGATGTTTGCCTTGTACGAGGTCGACCCAGGTTCGATTCCCAGCATCCCATATGGTTCCCTGAGCACAGCCAGGAGTGATTTCTAAGGCAGAGCCAGGAGTAACCCCTGTGCATCGCCCGGTGTGACCCAAAAAGCAAAACAAACAAACAAAAAAGAGCTGGAGCACTATCCTCAGCACCCTTTGGTCCCCTAGGCATGCAGAGTGTTGTCTTCAAATAAAAAAACTAGAGTGGAGGGCAGGAACTGGGGGTGGCAGGTGCAGGTGACTACTCCTTTTGGGGAGCGGCTGAGGAATTGGAGTTTATTCCCAGAGCACTGGGGTGCTCCCAGGGGCTTGAAACAGGGTGTCATACATGTGTGCTTTGAGAGGTTACTCTGGCCCTTGTATGGAGAGGAGGCAGGAAGGAGGGAGGAGTTGGGAGTAGTGGTCAGAAGTGACAGCTGCTTGGACCAGGGTGGAGGCAGTAGGAATGGAGGGGAGGCTGACTGGGGGGCAGGATGGAGAGGAACGGTGAGTGATGGGATGAGGAAGATGAGAGAACGAAGCCCCAAGTTCCTAGCTGTGATGGATGTGACATGTCTTAGGAAAGAGTGTCCTGAAGAAACAGGAGTGACATGGTAGGAGTCATCTAGGAGGAAGGATCCAGAAAGAAGCCGGATATATGACTCTGGACCAAGAAGAGATGGCTGGTGTCGGGTGTTGTCCCTGCTTTATTCTAAAGGCTCAGACCACTGTGATGTCTAGTGACCAATGTCTTCAGTCCATACTTGAGCCCACACCTCACCTCTTTTCCTCCACTTTGGCCTCACTAGATGGTCCTTAGGGGTGTATCCTTCAGTACCCGGGAGACCATGTGGTATTGGGGATAAACCTGGCCTCCTGCAGGTAAAGTATCTACTCAGTCCACTGAACTCTATCCAGCCCCATAACTTTATTTATTATTGGGGGTATCATTGTGGGGGGAGGCAGAGTTGAGCCACACCCCTCAGTGCTCAGAGTCTGGGACCATATTCAGTAATAAAACTGGAGTCCACTATGTGGAAAGCCCATGTCTTAACCCTATACTACCTTTCTGTCCCCCCCCCTTTTTTTCTTTTCTTTTTTTTGGGGGGGGAGGAGCTTTTTGGGTCACACTCAGCAGTTCCCAGGGGTTCCTGAGAATTCCTGGCTCTGCACTCCAGAATTACTCCTGGTAGTACTCCTGGATGCCGGGGATGGAACCCAGATCAGCCATGTGCACGGCACATGCCCTACCCGCTGTACTATCACTCTGCTCTCCCTTTTTCTTATGCACATTTTATTTTTACCCCTTCCCTTCCCTTCTAGCTATTGTTAGGATGGCCAGGGGTCTCTAACCCCATGTTTACGCACTGTAGTTGCGGTACTCACATTCACTTTGGTTGTGGTGCTTGCCTGCCTGGGGCCACACACTTGGTTGCTGTGTACCAGAGATAAGTTTTGTTTTAGTGTTGGGGGATCACAAACTGCTGCCCAGTGCTCAGCCATGTGGGGATAATGCCAGGGGAACTGAACTCTGGCCACATGCCTGCAAAGCTGATGCTCCCCCACCGAGCTATCCCCAGCCCCCATGGTAGCCTATACCCATCACTCATCTCTCCATGCTTGGCTTTCACCCACTAACGCTCAAGAGTTTATTTAGTCTGGCCTTTCTAGACTAATATTAGACCAAATACAAGGCACTTGAGATCTAGGGACTCATTTGTCTCTAGTCTTTACTAGCTTCAGGCAGTTATTCAGGACTTACTTAGAAGTTCACAAATCACCAGACCAAGTACTTCCACATTAAAACCCTCCTCAGGTGAAGGCAGGAGGACCCAACTGGTGTAAGGAGTTGGAAATTCCTCTCTCTGTGTCTGCATCTAAGCAAATCACATAAAACGTATCTAGGGCCTGGAAAGACAGTACAGTGGGCAGGCCTCTTGCCTTGCATGCAGCTGACCCAAGTTCAATCCCTGGCATCCCATAAGGTCCCCCGAACCCATCAGGAGTGATCCCTAAGTGCAGAGCGAGGAATAAACCCTGAGCACCTCTGATGTGTCCCCTCAAATGAACAAAATACATGAGAAGTGGGAGGGGATGGGAAGCAAAGAGGGCTGAAGCAAGTTTGACAGACCACCTGCCACCCTTGCCTATCTTTGGCAACCTCTGAGCTGCAGCATCATCTTCAGAGGATCCCTGAGAAATGAAAAATGTTTTAAGAGAGTGCGGAGCTCTGAGCAGTCAGTGAAAGAACAGGGAGAGGGAAGGTGAGGCTGGAAGATCTGAATACTCATTCTAGTTTTGCCAACAAGTTACTGATGTTTATGTTGTCACTTCATTTCTTGGGTTTGGCATAAAACTGCAATGGTTCTTCAAAGATGCTGGAAACATCAATTTACAAGGGAGACATAGAGGTGTCTTTGCAAAATAAAAAAGGTACATGTGAGGGACTGGAGTGATAGCACAGCGGGTAGGGTGTTTGCCTTGCATGCAGCCGACCTGGTTTTGATTCCCAGCATCCCATATGGTCTCCCAAGTACTGCCAGGAATAATTTCTGAGTGCATGAGCCAGGATTAAGTACTGCCAGGAATAATTTCTGAGTGCATGAGCCAGGATTAATCCCTGTGCATCACCAGTTGTGACCCAAAAAAAGGGGAAAAAAAAAAAAGGGTTAACAGGGCCAGGTATATATCTCAATGGTACAGTGTTTGCCATGCAAGTGTGAGGCCCTGGGTTCAATCCCTGGCACAACAAAAAGAAAAAAGAAAAAAAAGGGGGAGGAGGCCAGTGTGTCAGCGATGCCTGGAGAATGTACGGAGAAACACAGAGAACAAGAAACCAGATGTGAGATGTAGGTCTAGATAAATTCTTTAGACACTTGCTAGCAGCAATTTGAGCTAAGAGCTTAAAAAAAATGGGTGGGGCAAGCTATATGGCTCAAAGCGGTAGAGCACATGCACAGCTTGTGTGATACCCTGAGTTCGATCCCTTGCATGCACTCAGACCCCCAACACCAATGGGGTAGTCCTGTTAGACCCCAGCACCACCAGATCTGAGTACTGCACATGCCTCATTGTTGCTGAACCTGCACTGCTAGATCAACTAACTGTTAAGGGAGGATGTCCCCAACCATCCTGTCTCTCCCAGTATTGCTGGATGCAGTCCCTATAAAAATAAATATGGATTCCAAAGGAGGGGCCCTGGGGTCCTTAGAGAGGCAGGAACACACAAGTGATGGTGATAAGGATGGTGTTGGAATTATGTGCATGAGAAACTGTT